GTCATGGGTTTCATATTATATAAAAAAAAAACTATATTTTTGAGAATCTGATTATAAATTCTTTTTGTTAAAAAATATTTCAATGACTAATGTGCAGACTGTGTTAGATAGATATTTGACGCCGTTTAAAAAATTATATTTAAAAAAAAAAACTCAGTAAGCCGAATTTTTTTAAATTAAATTTGATGATAATGGCAAATTTATTAGGTGGAAAAATGATAAAATTTATTCTTGAAATTTATATTAACAGAAAATAAACATTACTTTCGTAATGCACTACATGTACGATAAACCCGACAGTTTTTTTTCGACATTTTGAAAAAAAAAAAAAAAAAAGAAGAAGAAGAAACCTTTCCCTATAAGACAATTTTCAATACTTTGAAATTTCATAAAATTACTACAGAAGATCCCATGGTTCTGATTGAGTCTAGAAGAGCATATACTACGTGATAGACATTTGGGGAAGTTTCTATGGTTATTCCCCCCTCTCAAGATGGCAAATTTGTACAATTTGCTCTATTTTTCATTTGCTTTAATAGTTGAAGCTCATGAAGTTAGGTTAGACTATTTGAATACGGCAAAACGCATGATTTCTATCTGCCTAAAGGGAGGAATGGCTAGTATTCATCGACGCTAAAACAGGTCTTAGCATTTCAGAAATAGAGACGAAGTAGATTTCCACATTTGGCCATTAAAAGAGGGTGCCGTGACTACAAGAATTCTGATAAACTCTGAACTTAAGACAAACCTTATGGCCATAAAAAAACTCTGAATGAATACTGTCAAGCATAAATTGGCAAAAATGATTGTATGCAATAGGGATACAGCATTGCCTTTTGTAACATCGGAAATTGAATGCAGAAAGCCTTAGTAAGCATTAGCATGAAGACTGTGAAATGTTCCCTTTTATCATACAGACTTTAGAAGCCTTCACTCTGCACTTCCAGTGAGCGCTTGGCACAGACCTATGCAGCTGATATGGGCTCATCAATTAGGACATTAAACACTTGACGACTGGAAATGTGTAGCTTGGTGTGACTAGTCGTATTTCTAACTGTTTAGAGCTGATGGAAGGCTTTCTTTCAGACGAAAGCTTCATGATGCAGTGGATCTTACATGTCAACATCACACTATAATGACTGTGATGACTCATAAAGGTATGGTGTTTAACTAGCATGCACGTAATGAGAGTCCCATAACATCTACAAATGTTTCTGAAGTGCACTGCATATCCTTTCCAATGAGTTAAATTTATTCCCGCCTAGCATTCATCCTTATGAGTTTTGCCTCTTCTCTCTAAAAATGTGCAGAGAAATATCTCTGGCGATACTAAATTATGGCTGAAAAAACATTGATCTAAGTTTAGAGTCTCGCAATGACCATTTAAGCTATTATATCTGAAGATTATCGACAACATCTGGGACGTCATACAGTGCAATGTGATCTCCGAATACAACAAAATAATAGAATGATTTACGAGAAGTAACTTTCACTTTGCGGAATAGTTCTGCATTTTTACAGAGTCCATATTCTGCATTTGTATGCTCTTCCGAAGGACCTATTTATAGGTCTGCCGTTTTTTTATTTTCACTTCATTAAGTTTAATACTAAACACTTTTTACAAATAATGATAATAGTAATCGTAATAATTAAATAATCTAAATGCTATAACTTTGCAATAAAATTAAGTAAATAAAATTATTTTCAATAAAAATGCAAGGCATAAGTGAAAACTGTTTTAATGTATTTTAAAACGTTAGGCTGCGTGTATAAAACTTATATGCATATTACGAATACATCTGTTCGAGATTTGCAAGAACTAACCGTTCTCCTTTCTCCTAATAAACTTAAAATAAAATAACTTTACATATAAAATTCCAAAGCGTCATATTTATTTTCAAAATCCGTAGAATTACAAGAAACTACAACAAAGATCAGATGGTTGCCATTCTTACAGTGATAAACTATGAAAAGAAAATAACAACTGAGGCTGGGTTCTAACAATACTCCCACCTTTTGATTGATGACATATACTTAATCAATCAAAACAAAATATAAAAAGATACTGTCCCTACAAATATTAAGGCTAAGTACACAAAAAGAAAAATTAAGTTCTTAAATTTCTACTCTAAAATAACTCAAGTAGTGTTCAGGTTAGAAAATCTAGATGGAATTTTAATTTGTCGTCCACTTCTAGTCACGACAGTCTTAATGTCCTTTGATAAATCTGCAGCTGAATTATTCTTTGGTAATTTTGATTCTAAACTGTCTTCACCCTGCGTCTCAGTTTCATTTGCCTCATCTGACTCCAAAGAGATGAAGGTATTTCGAGAGGGAATATTCTCTGGATTGGTCGAACTAATTTTTCAGACATGGTTTTGACACGAACTACTCGAATGTTGCCGTCTTTTCCGGGATATAGTTCAATTACTTTTGCTAGAGGCCGCAACACCTTGCGTTTGTCATCACATTCGGTAAGAACTATATCCCGATTTTATCTATTGAGAAATCGGCACTGTAGATGGACGTTGCACTAGCAGGCAGAGATATATCATTTCTAAATCTCTTTCTCAGGAGCTCTCGTAAATTCTGTAAATGTCTCAGTCTCTTGTTGAAATCAACTTTATCAAGATGATCCAAGTCAGGAACTCCAAAGACTGGAATTTTACCTAAAAACAAGGATAGTGTCAAAGGGATGAGATCATCTGAGTCCTCTGACACATAAGTGAGTGGTCTGGCATTCACAGTTGCTTCGCAGTCGCACAACACACTCATAAATTTTTCATAATTCAGACATGACTGGCGTAGGACTCGACGCAAAAGCTTCTTAATCATTTGAACAAGTCGTTCCCAAAAGCCATCCCACCATGGTGCTGCGGGTGGACTGAACTTCCAATCGATCTTGTTTGTGGCGGCTTCTATCTCAATGGTATTCCAATTAATCGATCTCAAGAGATTATTGGATCTGACAAAATTGCTTCCCTTATCGCTATAAATTATCGATGGCCTCCCTCTGCGAGGCAATAAATCTTCTAAGACCAAGTAAAAAATCCTTGAGTTGAAAGGGACAAAATCAGTTCCAAATGGACCGCCCTAAAAATAGCACATGTGAAAAGTAAAATCCAAGCTTTTCTTTTATCCTTCAAAATTAATGGGCCAGCTAAATCAACGCCGACAATCTCGAAACTACGAGCCTCTCTAACTCTGTTTTCTGGTAGAGTAGCAGGCACAGTCTGTAGTCTTTTACCTCCAAGTCTCCCGCACCTGACACATGCATATAAAGCTTTTGGAATCGTAGCTCTACTTTTCAGGATCCAAAACGTCTCTCTAAGTGTTGACATCAGTAAGTGAATTCCTGCATGAGACATAGAGATATGTTTATCAATTATCAATTTCTCCACAATCTTATGATTCTTCGGAAGTAACATCGGATAAATAAAATTTTCATGGTCTTTCCTTTCAGTCAACCTAGACCTGACACGTAAAATGCCTTCCTCTTGATGGCATATCGGCTGGGTTTTCCACACTTGGTACACGATGCCACTTTTTACGATCCGATAGGATTCTAATTTCTGAAACTCTGGTATTCACAAAAGTGCTCCAAACTTCTACGTTCTTTATCCAGAACAGTGCTGTTGACGAATCGGTCCAGTAATATTCCTTTGAAATTTCGACCTTAAGGTTCTTCTTGACAAATGATGCTAATCGCAAACCAATAAGACAAGCAAGCAATTCAAGTCGCGGTATACTTATTTTTTTCAAGGGTGCTTTGGCTTGCACTAGTGTCACTTCGACTTTTCAAAATATACTGCACTTGCATAAAATCCCTGTGAAGCATCGGCAAACGTATGCAAACTAAAAGATTGTCTTTCTGTCAATGAAAGTAGTCTGGGAATCTTCACAGAGGATAACAATTCTTTTAATATCTTCAGGTAGCTCTACATCCTAGCTCAATTTAGTTTCTCAGCTCTTTTGCAAGTATAACTTTGAAAGGAGTGCAAAAGGGCATGTGAAACCTATTGGGTCAAAAACTCTCTGTACAATTGATAGTACGTTTCATCTTGTCACTGAGAGATCAATCAAGTTAATATTAGGGATGTCACAAAACAAAGAATCTTCATATTTATCACACAGAAGACCAAGTACTTTCAATGGTTCGCTCATTGTAAATTTTCCACTGTTCAGTTCTGTTTGCTCTCACCCTCTTAAGTCAAAGTTAGCACTTGCCATTAACTGAGTTGATTTTGCAATAAAGTATTCTGCTTCTTCATTCGAATTCACTGAAGTGACACAGTTGTCAACATAGAAGGAATTTTTCAATTTTGTAGCCACTTCCTTCAAAGAAGGTTCACACTGGTCTAAATGAGAGTTGATCACTGCTCCTAAAAGAAACGGACTGCATTTTAGTCCGAAGACTACTCTGCAATGGCGAAATTTTCTTATTTCCTTTTGTTCCGAGTTTATCCACCATAGGAACCTTAGGAAATTACGATCAGATCTTTGAACAGATATTTGAAGAAAAGCTCTTTTAATATCTGAGATAATCCCTATTTTTCCTTGCCTAAATTCAAGAAGCAATCTATGTATTAATTCAATTAAATTTTGACCTTTTGTTAAACAGTCATTAAGTGAGAGGAAATCCTTTTGCTTGCACGAAGCGTCAAATACTGGCCTTACTGCTGTTGTACAGTTATCTTTGAATACCGGTCTGTGAGGAAGATAATGACTGTTAACTCGTTCCTCTTCTTCTGTTACTTCTTCTATTACTCCAGATTCGAGCCATTCTTCGAACACTGCATTGTATGTTTCAAATTATCTTTCAACATGAGCTTCTTTGTCGTGAAAATCAATCGCTTTTCAGCAACTTCTCTGTTACTTGGTAAAGCTTCTTTATCGTTGATCCAAGGTAAACTGACTTCATAGCGATCATCTACCCTCTTCAGAGTCTTGTGAAAGTGATCCCACACTGCTTCTTCTAACTCTGAATCAGTTTTTCTTTCTTTGGCATCTGTAATTCCCACTGCTTCTAGCTTCCACAAGTTTTCTATGTCACTGCTGTGAGTCAACATCGACGTTATGGTTGAAGACATGGACAAGGAGTTTCTTTCTGAAACGTTATCTTTTATCTTTCCTATGATTGTCCATCCAAGTAGTGATTCCACAGCAGTCAGCCCATTTTCTAATTTCTGAATTCTTCCGGTTAGCAGAGCAACTGCGACATCAGCTCCAATAAGAACTTCTATTTTTAAATCCTTTCTTCCTACATCAGATGCATGGATATTCTTCTGTCTCAATTCTTCTATCCATGGCCCAGGCTGTAAACTGACTACTGGTCCACAAATCTTCGACTGTTCCAACAAGATTAGTTGTCTAGAAAAATCACCTCTTAGGCTTCTAACGTTTACTTCATAGCGTTTGTGAATTTCTCTCTTTGTTGTTACTCCTCCAAAAAGTGCATGGATTAAAGATTCAGATCCAATTGCGTGGCACCCTATGTCTACAGCAGTCTTCTTTAATATGTATGAACGTTGCGATCCTGTGTCGATAAGTGCCCTTACTGTCTTCTGCTTTTTGTTCGCGTCGATATTAATTAGTAGTGTTTGAAGAAACACTTCATCTAGGAATTAGTGCTCGCAAGTGATACGTTTTGTGTTTCCCCTTCTTTATTCTTTTCAACATCATTGCTCTTTTGATTGGTGGGCAAATCTGGACACATGACACCCCAATGTCTTTTCGAGCATATTATACATCGTACATTTGTCTTACATTGCTTGGCCCTGTGTCCAATTTTGAGGCAGAAGAAGCAACCCTTCTTTTTCTTAATTTAATCATTCTTTTGACTCAGAGGCATGTTCTGAGCAACAAAGCAATCTCGACTTTCATGAAAATTTTCACAAAATATGCAAGAATTCTTCTCACTATAATTAGCTGCTTTATTATGGCCTGAAAATAGATCATTTGCTGTAGGCACGAAATGTTCACTCTGGTACCTTTTATCTCTTCTACTTTCTCTCTTGGCACCCGAATCAATTAATTTAAATCCATCTTTTTCCAAAGAAATTCTCTGCTCTCCTTCCACTTTATTTTTTAAAAACAATAATAATTGTTTCAATTTCTCAGAGTGAGAATTTTCTGCTGTAATTATTGATGCATAATTCGTAAATTTCTCGTAAAATTTCCTCGGGAATGCAATATTCCACGAGCGGAAACAGCATTGCAGAGTATTTATCGCTTGTCATTCCTATTGACTCCAACGAACGTAAATACGACTCTAACTTGTCATACAATTCTGATATACTGCATTTTCCCTTTTGATCAGTGACATTTTTAATAATCAAACCTAATAATTCCCGAATATAAAATTCTACCAACAATTCTTCCCTGCCGAACCTATTTTTTAAGCTTTCTATAACTTTTTCATAATTTTCGGCAGTTGCAGGGAAGCTGTTTACCAATATCCCGTGGTCTCGTACCGGGTACGAGATAGTGCATCTTATCCTCGTTTTGAATTTCTTTATCTTCATGTATTCGCCGAAATTGCCCCCAAAACGGTTACCAATCTTTAATTTCGCCACCGAATTGTTTTAACTCTATTTTAGGTAATTTCAGTTTCCATTTGTTAGAATTCGGCAGAACACTGCCAATGGATAGTATCGTTTGGCGATTGAAGAACAATTCCGTTTCTACTCGTATTAAATCTAATTTTTCTTGTATTCTTCAATTTTCGCCCATTCACTTTCAAACTTATCATTTGAAGAAAAATTCCGAATTTAATATTTGAGTATCAATGCATTAAGTTCAACAGATAAACGTTCTAAAGTAACAAGTTTCATTTTTACAGATTTTGCATCAGGAATTTCCTTTTCTAATTCTTGAAAAATTGCATTAGTTGTTCTCGTAAAAGACGCTCTGACAGGTTTTCGTTTCTCAATTAACGATTCCATTTCAATAAAAATAAATTCAATAAAGTCAATAGAATTAAATTCGATAAAAAACCAACAAAATTACCTTGACTTGTTTTACCGATCACTTCCGTCGTCACCAAAATTGTTCGAGATTTGCAAGAACTAACCGTTCTCCTTTCTCCTAATAAACTTAAAATAAAATAACTTTACATATAAAATTCCAAAGCGTCATATTTATTTTCAAAATCCGTAGAACTACAAGAAACTACAACAAAGATCAGATGGTTGCCATTCTTACAGTGAAAAACTATGAAAAGAAAAATAACAACTGAGGCTGGGTTCTAACAACATCCTCTTCATATTTGAGGCAATATAGTGTATTTTTATATATAGAGCATAATCAAATTACATCCTTCAAATTATCAGTTGGCATACTTGATCCCTAAATGCACACTTGATATATTTGACAGAAGTAAATGCAAATCTAAAGTATATTTCAGTTATACATCTTCTCTGAAGAAAATAGCAATAGAAAATTTCAAGTATCTATGAAGTTTTAAAGGGTATTTACGTATAAAAAAATTAATAACTTCAAAAATTTTATTCTGTAAATATTGTAGTATTAATTCCACTTTTAGAATATTTGGTATTATTAGTATTGTTCTTATTATTTCTGATTATTATAATTGTCCTTACGCTTAAATTTGTAATTTTCATGTCTTCATCTGGCTATTTCTGCTTCAAATTAAATGCTTTCTGGATACAAATTTTCTTTTATGAAAGACCATATGGTACTTCCGTCAGGAAGAGGCCACTGACATCATCGTCAAACTGGCACATTTGATGTATAATAGGCAAATTTCAAATGTCGCCAGAGAAGGTCATAGCCGCTTTAACAGAAAATTATCGACCATCCTTATCAAAGTGTGCAAAATGTAGCGAAATTCCCAATATATGTCATTTTCTACCATTTCAAATAAAGTGTGAATTAAAAAGATTTTATTTAAGGAAAATCTAAAAGTATATATGATTACATGTAACCATTTCCTCATGCTGAGATGCTGTTTTTCCTTCTGCAGAATGAAGGTAACATGTGAAGACGTCCTTTTGCATTACTTGTCGCCGACGGAATTCGTGGATTCTCCGGAGTGGGAATCATGCGCCACCAATTCAGATAAACACTTCCAAGTAAATATCATAGTTTCGTAATTAATATCATAGTTTCGTAATAATATTCAATATATCGGTACTAATATATTGAATGTAATAGGATGGTTATAAGGAAATATTTTTTTTAATATATCTAGTAAGGCTTTGAACGTACTTGCTGTTGACTCTACCAATGGCAAATTAGAAATAAATAGTGGGCAACTAAAATATTCCATCAATCCAGATTTTCACGTAACTTTTGCATTAAAATTTATAGTTAAATTATTCGTATTGATAACAATTATAAGTTAGAAAAATATTTAATTCAGAAAGAGTATATTATATAATTTAAGAATAATTTTATAGTGCGAACAAAATATGACCTAGACAAGAGTAAGTTACTGGTCTTTCTTAAATCGCATTTTACAGTGTGCAAAAATCTTGCTTAGAATGGAATTATTAGTTTTTAGTATTAGCTAAATGCTTTTAAAAAGAGGATATTCTAATCTTAATGAACTGAGTATGCTTTATGGTTCTATTTATTGATTTTATTGTTTGAACAAACATTTTGTTTGACATAGATCATTCTATGAAATATCTACTTGGCATTTATATTAAAACAATTTAATATATTTTCTTTGGAAAATTCAATAAATTTTTCGACACTGTTTCTGAATGATTCCTTTTTTACGAAATAACCAACCTTTTCTCTAAAAAATTGTTTCATTTTACGGTATAAAGTTTAATTATTCCAAAGATATTAATTCTTAATGATTTCGTTTAATATTTGACAGCTGTTACTTATTTTACTGATATCTGTATGAAATTTTCTGTTAACCTTTCGTCAGTCCTTGTTCATAAATTATTATTGTATATATCCCTTCAATTTGTTTCAAGATACTTGGAAAAAAAAAAAAAAAAGCACTAATTTATTTTCGATGTAAATAAATATTTAATCTAAAGATAATTTTCTATTTAATGGATGCTTAAAAATTAATATTAAGTGACAAAATCAGTATGAATGGTCACTCTGAATATATATATTGGGTATGTTCAAAAGTTCTGCAAGTTTTTGGTATGCATATGCAAATGCAAGCAACACAAACTGAAATTCATCTAAGACTGCTTGTAATCACCATTATGTTCAATAACCTCTTGCCATCTTCCCGGTAGAAAATGAATCTCCCACTCCGATAAAACTCTGTAGGTGGTGTGTGTGGTGTATTTAATTATGGCAAAGCACACTAGGGCTATCTGCCTAAGGGGAGGGATGCCTTCGTGGAGGACTTTCTAAGGGAAACTGGCTCGTATACACGTTACACATGGAGAAAACCACGAAAACACCCATGTAGCCAGCCCGTTCGCGGGATTCGAACCTCGGACCGAACTACCAGTGTTCAGTGACTTTACCGCTCAGCTGCTGGTGAGCCTTTAAAACTCTGTAGAGTTTAACTTCCTTAGGGAGCATAAACTAGTTCCACACTCCTAACAGACATAAAACGAATTATCGCTGTGTCTGAAGTAACTACATAGACTTGAAAAGCTTTAAACAACCGTTTTATTAAAACAGAACTTTGATCATTAACGCATTTTTTGTGCTAACAGAATCAGCCAACACTTGTGGCCGTGTAACTTAAATAACAGTCAAATTCAGATTTTAAACATAGACTACTCAATGACTACACAAATTAAAATTAAATCTGAGCTGAATCAAAAACTCCAACCGACGTATCAAATTTAAATGTCAGCAGGAATAACACAAAGCCGGAGAATTACACTCTTATCAGAGCTGGCAGCACTAGCTTAACGTGGCCATGAGAGGCAGAAACATGCTTTGTTTTACAATCCCAAAACTTCAGCTTATATACTCTCTAACTCATTTACGTTTCTGGTACGGAAATGGAAGGGAGAAGTTATAGTTAAGCTAAAATTATGAATACCTGGTTAATTTAAATATTAAATCTTACAACTTCTCAGGATTAGAGTTGAACTCATTTAAGACAATTTTTCGCTGCCTCCATATGAAGGAGGTTTGCAAAGTGCGAAAAATGTAGGGGGTCAAGGCAGGGGAATATCATTAATGGGATAAACCCCCTCAACCAAAATCTAGTAATTTCTGACGTATCATCATAGCAGTATGTGGCTTAGTGTTATCATGGTTTAATATTAAACTGTTGGTGATTTACAAGGCTTGGCAGCTTTGATCGGAATGATTCTCGCAGTGTGTCCAGTTTTTGATAGTAGAAAGTTGCATTAATGGTTTAATTAGATTCTAGGAGCTCATAATAAATTATTCTTTTCACATCACTTAGAAACACCTTCTTGGGATCAAGTTCTTGTTTGGAAGTTGATGGAGGCAGTTCATAAACGCGACACACAGTCCTGCGGTGCTTCCCCTTCCGGTAAATAGTTCACTTCTTATCTTGACCATCAAGAAGTGGTCATTTTTGTACCGGGAAAGCAAGGGAACACACATCATGACTCACCTTCTACAGTCGGATTCGGACTGACTGTTTAGTCCCAGATCCTCTTTAGAAAATGCTGATGGGCATCCATACGGTGGTTGGCCTTGATAGCTTCTGATGCCGTCCCTGAATTTTTAAAACCAACGCCAACATGTGCTTTCATCAATTGCATCCTCACCACACACTTGTCTAAAGTTGCAGCCTAATACAAAGTGGTGCCCTTTTCAAACGCAAACAACAAACAGTGTCTGATATGTTTCTTATTGGTGTCTATTTGATGGGCACAATTCTCTATCCAGATGCGAGCCACTAATCCAAATTCACTACCTGCTGCTGCTGTAGTATTCTCTCGGTAGCATTACATTGGATGCCAGCTCTATCTATCTTTCCCCAGCGACCTGCCACAACCGGCTAAAACTTTCGCACGTACCCAATATATGCATTTAATGAATAAACTTGTGTTAAAATTGCTTGTATTATTAATCTCGACTATTACACACAGGTCACGCTGACTGCAACAGAGCCTTGCCAGTTGCTGTGCTGGGGTCGAAAAGAATTGCTGACAATCCTTGCAAATAATCAGTTTCTGGACGTAGTGATGTATAACCTGATAGGTAAAGATATCACGCACAAGCTATATTCACTCAACGAACAACATCGCAAAGGTGCTCTCCCAGACAAACTGTCTCTCTCCGACTCCTTGGAATTCTGGAGAAATCCGTTATTGAGGAGCCATTCGGTCGACATGGTGCACACTGGAAAGAAAGGCCATGTTCGATCACTTTTCTGGAAAAAACCGGAAACACAAGACAGAAGAACAAGTACAGCATTTGCCGAACATTTAGGTAAAATTGCTACAACTGAATTCAATTCAAATTTTGGTAGAACAATGAAACCCTAAATAAATCTAAATATTAATGGCAGAAACTTCAGAATTTTATCCACTGAATTTCTCAGTTGGAATAAGAAAACAGGAAATGTTTAATAAAATTTATCATTTTTCAGTATATTTGGTAGAAAATATTTATGTTTCAAACACAATCTATCAATAGAAAAGTCAAAGAATATCAACATAATCACATCATTTATTATATTTACGAAATAAGACATTAAATTTTATCTGAAATGTTTTAATTTCAAAATTTGCTGTTACACGGATTTTAATATTTAATTCTTAAACAATTTCTTTGTTGAAGAGCTCTCATAGTAATGTAATTTAAAGTAAATGCATCACTGAAAAGTATACATCAATTTTCCGTTTTACACATTATATTAACTTTTTGTTGTTCTTATTTATGCCTTCCTAAATTCTATTTAACAACAGCTTTCTATCCTAAGTTATCTTTACCGCTGTCTGTACCTCTTTCCAATGCATGAAGCATGTCAAATATTGTAACTGTAACCTATGTATAACTATGCTCTTTTCTATGTATAACTGACACATATCATTGCTGACTCACAGTAGCAACAGCAAGAGCATAATATTAAATGCAGTTGCTCTGCGAAGATCAAATAACTACACATTGTCCGGCAGAGAAAAACACTGTACAGTATAAAGTGAAAATAATAGACATTAAATATTTCCTATAAAATGCTATTGCATAGGCAGATGAAACAAAGTGAGCCTTGATCAAGTCCTAAGGGAACTGCTTCCACAGGACTTGCTTGGATGCTATACAATACTACGAGGGCCATCCAGGAAGTAGATTACGTTTCCGTCTGTGTCCGCTAGGGGCGGGGCTAGCGCGGCCATCTTGGGGTCCGAGCGTTGCGCAGCTCAGTCTGCATCTAGCCGTGCTAGTGAGAGGTTCGTGCTGTGCTCCGTTCAGATACTGTGACGGTTTGAAATGTCTGCGTTAATTGAAAATCCCGCGAGCTGCGAGGTGCGCTCAGTAATAAGGTTTCTGACTGCAAAAAACTGTAAACCGATAGAAATCTATCGGCAGCTTCGTGAAGTGTATGGGGACAACATTATCACTGAAGGTGGAGTGCGTCAGTGGGTCATAAGATTTCAAAATGGCCGAACCAATGTTCACGACGAAGATCGAAGTGGGAGACCCAGCATAGTGACCGCCGAACTTCTCGAAAAAGTCGATGCTAAAGTCCGTGAAAATCGAAATTTCACAATAACGGAACTTTCTTTGAGTTTTCCACAAATTTCGCGAAGTTTGTTGCACGAAATCATCAGCGAAAAGCTTGGTTACCACAAGTTTTGTGCAAGATGGATTCCAAAAATCTTGACAGAGGAGGACCACAAAAATCAGCGAATGGCTGCAGCGTTGAACTTTTTGGACGCTTACCATAAGGATGGTGACTCTTTACTCGATCGCATCGTTACTGGTGACGAAACATGGGTGAAACATGTGAACTGTGAAACGAAATTGCAATCAATGCAGTGGGGGCACACAAGTTCTCCCCAAAAACCCAAGAAATGCATGCAAACAATGTCGGCAAGGAAGATGATGGCGACTGTTTTTTGGGACAGAAAAGGTGTAATTTTGGTGGACTTCCTGGAAAGAGGCACTACAATAAACTCTCAAAGGTATTGCCAAACTCTCCAAAAACTCAGAAGAGCAATTCAAAACAAGCGCAGAGGAATGTTGAGCTCTAAGATCTTGTTGATTCACGACAACGCCCGGCCCCACACGGCAAATGTCACTCGTAAAGTTCTTGAATCTTTAAGTGGGAGTTGTTTCCTCATCCGCCGTACAGTCCCGACCTGGCACCGAGCGACTTCCACCTATTCCCAGCAATGAAGAAGTGGCTGGCTATGCAGCGTTTTGATGACGACGCACAGCTGCAAGAAGAGGTAACGAAGTGGTTGAAGGCGCAGGCGGCCGAATTTTTCGACGAAGGAATTTCCAAGCTCGTACATCGCTACGATAAATGCCTTAATTTGTATGGTGACTATGTAGAAAAGTAGTATTTGAGTGTGGCTTTCATCTGTATATAATAAAATTTGTTTCCTATACTTTGTTTATTTTTTTATTCCAAAACGTAATCTACTTTCTGGATAGCCCTCGTATATAGTGACATTCCAATGACGTAGCAGACCTAATAGTAAATTGCGACTTTTAATTCTAGGAATTTGTGAAAATAAATCTTCAAACGTTAAGCTTCATTATCACAAACAAGTTCATAGACACAGTCCGGGGGGGGGAATACAGCAATAAACAAAAGACTAAAAGAGATCATGTGCAGAACTTTAGGACTAGGCTTCAGAAGTCTTTTATGTATACAAATATGTTTGAATGATGCCACTTTTAAAAGCAAACTTGTAGAGACATTAGGTTAATTGGAAAAGCCGGAGAGATGAAAATGAGCAAATGTCTTCGCCGGGAATCGAAACACGGTCCTCTGGAATACCGGCCCAGCGTGCAGAACCACTACACCACGAAGGCACGCTAGGAAAGCGGGAGAAATACCTTATAAACTGATACAGTTCTGTCACAAAGCAAATGCAGTAGTCACATCATGTGAAAACATCCTGTATTAAAATACAATCATCCAATAAACAGTACTAATAAAACAATTCTGTATTGACGAACACAGTGTAAGCCTTAATTCTACTTAGCAATTAAAATGTGTATCATAACTCTGGCTTTTTTTTTTTTTTTTCCATATTTTCTTTCTCATCCTAAGAAAGCTTTTCTCCCTAATTCTGTACTAATAAGCTTGATGTTTTTGCACCCTTTCATAATTTTTATGCACGCTTTCTTATCTCACAAACTTCTCCCTTTCTAGGCACCTCTCGTTCTTCCAACTACTCAGATCCCGGTCCAGACAGGAACAAAAGAAATGCCAAAACTTCAACAAAGGATTCAGAAAACGAAACACCTGTTTGAAAGATGCAATACCCGTCCATATCGAGAGAGAGTTCACATCATAATTATCCCCCAGACAGCTACACAAGAACAAATTGAAGGTGCATCTCTGTTACGCTGCACTTGTTGTTTTTCAATGTTCGAGGACTGAAACGAAAATTTCAGCCATTCAGTTATTCTAGAGAGCTTTTCAGAGTGAACATCAAATTTGTAACCCGTTCGTTTCGTATTTCTCTTTATGAAAAATAGGTTGTGATGAAACTGAATTTAACACAACGATAACAGTATCCTCAAATGCTACTCAATTAATAGCATTCAAAATTGTTACCATATAACCCCATTTAAATATCTTTAGCTACAAATTATTAAACGTTTCGGAATTCTCATCCAGTGTTGGAGCATCTTATATATGACTGTCCATATAACAAAAATGTTACAATGCGGGTGCAGTTCAAATATATCAAATCAAAGCAACGAAGATATTTTGTCTCATACAATAAACTGAATAATATGAGACAGAAACGCACAAGAATGAAAATTAACAGAATCGACTACGTGTGTGAAATGCTGCAAAGAACAATTATCGATGACGTATAACTACTAATGATCTAATTCACGCATAAAATTTATTTTCGCATTGTGTTCTAATAATGCTCGGCATAATTTTTAAGTATCCTATTTTAATATTAAAAGCACATGAAAACATAAATGCGCGTTAACTCAATGCTATGATGTAAAAGAAATGATTATTCGTATTATTGCGGTTGATTTTTATTCTACGATTATTTTTTGTAAGCAAAAAATTATTAAACTGGGACAAACTGCTTGAAGTTATGTTATTATTTAACGCAAATGATTTTTTTTTAATATTTCGAACTCAGCTAAGTGTATATGAATAACTGATAATCAATTATAGCTGAGCATTTAATTATCGAATGAAGAATGAAACAGAGGACTTTATAAAATTTAAGTTTTGATGGGAATTAAAACATATTAATAGCGACTGTTCGCACATTTTTTAGACGATTTTCATCCTAAAAATTTTTATATTTTAAATGTTCTGTTTGATAACCCTTATTCTTCACTGTCTTTATACACCGTAATTTTCAAGACAGTAATGTCTTTTGTAGTATCGAAAGAGGTATTTTATCCCATTACTCTCGAACAGCTTTTCAAAGTCTAAGGAGGTTGTAGGTCGACGCTTGGACAACCCGCCTTTTAGATGTATTGGTGATAGATCAAAAGTTTTAGCAGGTATATGAGTGAAGAGTATATCCTTCACACCCATTTCTTGTCCCATTTTTTTTAAGAAAATAAGTAGAATTTGACTTGTCGCTGCTTGCTTTGTCTTGATGCAGTTCTCTTGATTGATCACATTGTGTGTAAAGAGAAGTTATTTCATATTTAAAAACTGGACGTCAAATATATTTTTGATAACCTGGTGGAGTTGGTCTTAACATTTTTCTCCACTCTCTCCATTTTAATTTGCCGTTTTATGAAAAACCAGCAACAATCATAAATCCCTTAGAAAAACTTTCTTTAGATTTCATGAAGCATATTTAAAGATTTTTTCTGCTCTTTGATGATAATAAATGGATCTCTTTTTATTTCAGTAATTTAAGTACACCCAAAGTTCGTCTACTGTGACAAAATTTTTTCCATTTTATCCAAATAAATGTTTCTCATAAAGAATTCCGCAGCGCGTTCTGCGTTCAGCGGTATGTCATAGAGCAAGACGATGCACATTATTATTATTATTATTTACCTTTTTAAGATTCAAATCAGCATTAATCACTTTGTTTACAGTCGACACTGAGTATTTTAATGATTCTGAAACTGTCCTTTGGCTTGGAGGATTTTCTTTTAACATTAAAGATCTTACTTTTGCAGCCTTCGAAATATTCCGTTTTGTCTTGGATACGTAATTTGGAACAATTTTTCCACTTTGTGCTAAATTTTGACGTTTTTTCCCCCTTTGTTGTTGACATCATTACCTATCGTAGCTTTATATATCGAAATTACATGGCATTCACAACGTTTTTTTATAACTAGATACAAATAATTTTCTTTGGAAAGAACACAAACATAGCATTGCATTCACTGCTTTATAAAAGCTATATTTTGCATGAAAAGAAAACTGTCAAGTATCGGATGATAATTTATACTTTCAGAAATACAGTTGGAGTTAAAATATAATTCCAAGCAGAAATTTTTAACAGCACAGCAAAATCGTCTGAAGAATGTGCGAACAGCCTCTGTGTATATTATTCGGAGTACGATCGTAATCTGTGAACATAATTTATACCCAGTAGCCGTTCACGTAATTTGTTCAAATAAACAAGCTTCAGATGCAAAGAAATACAGCATTGCCAGTGTATGTGCTAACTTTTTTTTAGATATCTGTTACCTGCAGGATCGTGGGTAGGAGCAGTTTGAAGGCATCCCAAATAACAAAGAGAAATAACATAGTGGAATACTGAAATACAGTAACTGAAATATATCCAATATTGGGTTCTCATTTCCTCACAATAATTACGATCGTGAGTTACTCGAATCTTTTTTTTTCGAATCGATTTAATAAATATGAGAGGAAATGAAAGTTGTCACTGTGGAAGTTTACATGTGTTTTCAGCTTACGGATCACCTTTCAAATTCGTGCTTTTGTCCCCTATCTAATGATTATAAATATATCGAAAAGGGGTCAGAGAATATTTGACTCACTTTTCTTGTTTTCGTTCCAACTCCTCTCAATTAAAATGTTCTTCAGTAATTCTCTTTTTTCTTACCAGTTATATTCAGTACCAACCACATTACTTTTTTTCATTATTATGTCGGAAAAAAAAAAAAATAAAACCTTTTAATTCTACCATTCCTTGGAATAATTCATAAACTTATTTTTACTTCTTTGTACAAAGTAAAAGAAGTAATGTAATCGCGAAAAAGTTCGGGTATCATATTTAAACAGAAATATCCATTTTGACAGTTCCCGAATATATCTGGACGATTTTTTTTACGTGATGTCTGTAGGTGCGGACAGAATAAAGGATTGTTTTTTCCTCCCCAAAAACAGATTGTAAAATGTATTTAAAGAGGATTCAAAACGGATTTTTTCCCCCCCTTGACGTCTGTACGCACGTGGGTATGTAAGTATTTTGCGTAACTCAAAAACGATTAGCTGTAGAAAGCTGAAATTTTTTTTATGGAACTGCTGTAACATCTAATTGTGCACCTCCCATTTTTATTCATTGCAATCATCAGTACCAACCAGTTTAAAAAAAAATAAAGAAATTTATATAATTATTCAGTTTGTGATCGTTGACAATCACTTATCGGAAATTCGAAGCTTCGTCCTATGTTAGAATCACAGTCCAACAAAAAAATTTTAGTAGGCAATGTGAAATTAAAAACTAGCTCAAACTCCTTTGCAATTAGTTCTAGCAGTTTAAGTTTTGAAATTAAATAACAGAATTTAAGTGAGAATACTTCTTTTCTTATGAGGACTCTACATTTCTCAAGGCGTGAACAATCATTTTTACTGAAATTGCAGAAGAAAAGTAAAAAAATTCATCATTCATTAAAATCTCCTGCTGACATTTATCAAATATTACTTATAAAATATATTAATCCCTAAACTTACATTGGCGTTCAAAATGAATAGTGTGAAAAGCATTTATATCAAAGCCTGTTTAGTGCTTCTGAAAACAGTACTATTTTTAAAAACAATACTGCCGAATTTTAAAACTTCTCCCTCCAGACGGGAAGCAGACTAAAATACGTTAACTGATTAATCATACGCGTAAAGCAGAAAACACTACCTTTCGCTCTATAATACAGCCTGTTTTTCACATTTATCAAATTCGAATTTAGCTGTTAAGACAACTTTAGGCGATATTCTCCATTCCTCCGAAGCATCAGACCGCAATTTTCAACCTAAGTTTCAGTCATTTCTCATCGAGTTAAAAAGAATTAAAGATAACCTTTCCTTTTTGTCACGATTTTTATTATCTGAGGTTTCTTTGTAGCTGAGGTATCACTTTCATTATTTTTTCCTGTCGGAGAAAAACAAGGCATAGTTTTGAGTTAAAATTCCTTCTGTCAACCCCTTTCCCCCAGGAAGGAAGATTTCTCTGTCTTCTATCGTTTTTCATTTATTTTATTGCGTGTCTTTTAAATAAAACTAGTATATACTCCAATACTTTAAAAACTGAATGTAAGCAAACAAAAACAAACTTGCAAGACCAGTTCTAATTCTTTATTTTTTCAAAAAAAAAAAAAAAAACTTTGAAAAATATTTATCTCATGAACTCATGAAGTAAAAATATAACTGATATTTAAAATGTGAAGCTGTCATCTAGCGGCACTACAAACCGTCAGTACTTACTTTAACTATTACCGTTTCCAACATTACTCCCTCACCAGTAACTATGTTAAATAATCATGGTGAGGAACAGAGAGACAGCAGAGAGACAGTTGTAGCATTTATTTCAATCTCGAAACCGGACGGACAACTTTACCTGTCTGCCGGAACGGGTCTTGGCTATAAGAGTTTTGCTGTCATCCATAGCTTGGGAAAACTTTTCGCTTGAATAATTGGTCAGTTTTGTTATCCAGAATCACTTTGTCTGTTACAGCATCAGAATCAGTAGCTAACATGCCTGTGGGCTTTAGTCTGTCAGCAGAAATATTAACTGTTTTGCATTTAACGAGCACAGAAAAGTATTTCTCACTGTCAGATATTTGAAACGGTCCCGTATAAGTTGGTTCAAGTGGCTTTTTCACTTTGTCTGTTTTCACAAAACATGAGAGCACGACTTTTAATCTTTGTGGACAAAAACTTTCTGATGGGTTGCACACCGTGTTCTGATCGGTTTTAAGTTATCAGCTTATCTACAAAGGTAGCAGGGTCAACTTTGAAATTGGGTAGATTAAAAAATTCACCACAGGTAGGTTTAATGTTTGTTCCATATACCATTTGGGCAACTGTGTGATTTGTGTCACACAATTGTCAAATCATAAAGCAGATCTAAGACCCAACAGAACTGCTGGTAGTGTTTCAGTCCACTGAGCATTATTATGAGCTTTTATAGCAGTCTTCAACGTTTTATGAAGAATCTGAATTTTCCCATTGCATTGCGGATGGTGCGCTGTAGTAACCCACATATTACAGTCAAACTCCAGAACAACTGTGAATGAAACTGTTTCTTGATCCGCAGTAATTTTATATGGGACGCCAAATCTGCAAATCCAATGTTCATAAAAGGCTTTGCTTACAACTTCTGCAGTGGTAATGGAATGACTTCCATCAGCCAGTAAATCGGTCGATGCAGGTTTAAACAATATACATACTCGGTTGAGAGGGTAATGAACCAATGAAATCGATATGTACTACACTGAAACAGGTATCTGATTCAGGACAGCCCGCAAATTTAGATTTGGTGTGCATAATAACTTTACATTTTTGCATCTGATACATACTTAGGCCCAATTGTTTATTTGTTTTTTTAGTCCAGGCCACACAAAACTAGGAGTCATCTGTTTAATTGTAGATTTAGTGCTTGGGTGTGAAAAACTGTAAATTTGACCAAAATGTTTTCTCCTGCAACTAGCTGGAATATAAGGCCGAATCTTCTTTTGCGAGATATCACACCATAAAACTTTTGAAGATGGAAGTACGGACTGGCTAAATTTAAATGTTGTGTCACTTTTCATTAGATCCTTCAATTCTGGATCAGTACTTTGTTCTACAGGAATTTATTCATAATCAGTAACAGAGATCCGTGATTGTACAAAACCACATTTTCTTGTCCACTAATATGCCAATCATCTGTGG